TCCTGAGGGGAGACACTCAAACTCCGGGAAGAGACCATGGGAGGGGTCCTGCAGAATCCTGCACGCTGCTCTTAGAGTTTGCTGCTTCCTCAGGGATGAAAGTGCTCTGAGCAGGAGGCCGATGATCTTAGAGCAGACTTTCACTGTGTTGGCAGGCGGGTCCTGTGCTGCAGGCTGGTGGAGTGATACCAGCAGGTGATGGAGAAACAGAAGATTCTCAATGAAGGAGTAGTAGAAGGTTCTGAGTATGACCTTGTTGACCCCAAAGCTGTTGAGCTGCCTTAGGAGATGTTGCTGCTGCTGACATCTCCTTAGAAGGTCCTCGGTGTTGGAGGCAAACTTTAGGGTGCAGTCAAAGATGATGCCCAGATATTTGTACTCCTCCACCACCTCCACTGTCTGCCTGTAGATTATGCTGACAGATCCTGTCACCAGCTCCCTCTGTTTTTTAGAGAAGGTCACCGCCATGTCCTTGGTCTTCTCCACGTTTAGCTCCAGGGAGGCATTGTCACACCATCGCACAAACTCATTGAGAAGTGAGCCGTGGTGAAGTAAGGAGCCTGAGAGCAGAGACAGGAGGACTGTGTCATCCGCGTACTTCACTGGATGACAGTCTGGGTGGATGGACCTGCAGTCATCGGTGTACAGGATGAACAGAAGAGGTGACAGGACGCAGCCTTGGGGGGAGCCAGTGGAGGTGATGGAGAGGTCAGAGAAGATGTTGTTGACCAGCACTCTGTGTCCTGTTGGTCAGAAAGTTGATGATCAACAGAGTGAGCTGGTCTTCCAGGTGGAAGCGGGTGGAGAGTTTCTCTGCCAGGACGTGTGGTCGCATAGTGTTGAATGCAGATGAGGAATCTGCAAACAGGAGTCTAGCTGAGGTGTTGAGGAGTTCCAGATGCTTGTGTATCTTGTGCATGATGAACATTTTGCATCGTCAACCCCCCTGCCTGCCCAGTACGCAAACTGGAGAGGGTGAATGAGTGGGCCGGTCACCTTGATGATATGATCCTCAATGACCCTCTCCATGGCCTTCATTGCTAGTGAGGTGAGAGCCAAAGGCCTGAGATCATTCAGGATCTTAACCGAGGACTTTTTCAGAATGGGGACCACAGTGGAGTGCTTCCACAGCTGGGGGACTGTGCTGCTGTCCATTGTGAATGTTCCTCAGTCAATCAAATACACACAAACCCTGTGTAATCCATTGTCAATCAAATACATACACCACATTTTAATTTGATGTCAACCAAACACACACTCCATCTAATCCACTGCCAAGCACACTGACTCAACCCATCTAATCAGTTTCAACCAAATCCACACACACCCCCATCTAATCCATTGTCGATGAAATACACACATTCCTGTCCAATCTACTGTCAATCAAACACAGAAAGATTCAATGCCCAAAAAACCCAACATGATTCTGGTTTTTCCCTCCACTTTACATCACCTTTCCGTGTCGCATCCACACACCCATTCCACCAGGCGCCTACACGCATTTTATATGCCTCTAAAGAGACGCATGGGTCACATGGTCACTGTGCACTGGCATGTGTGCCAGAGAGGCAATGAAGGACCATATTCTTAAACATGTCAAGCATTCTGGAAATGCAGCTGATCTGAGGACTGACACGTCTGATCCCACTCTTGCAGCAGATCTCATTGGTGCTATTATACACAGAGAGACACCTCAGGAAGAGAACAAGATCAGCCACTTCCCATGAGAGATCAGCCACTTCCCATGAGAGATCAGTCAAAGTTTCATTAGACTCACAGTCGCGGCATAAGTACTTTCATCAGAGAATCACTGTGTGCTTGTCACACCAGGAGCAATTAAGGTGGGAGCATAAGTGGGGTCATAAGTGATACAGAAGGGCCAGCCTTATCACTAGCCAATGATATGTTCAGCAAGTCACAAGAGAGGAGGCCTTCCACAGACCAATCAGCTTTCAGCTGGGTCCAGTGCCTCTGTAGCCCCGCCCCTGTATACACCCCAGTGTCACACACACTTGCCTCTGGGGTGAGTGAAGACAGCAACATTAGCAATGACTTTACTTCACTATGGTACCAAAAGCCATAACACAGTGGCACATGAGAGATGCTCAGGGGCAGCAAAGCCTGCCCTCTGGGTACATTTAACACCAGGCCATACACATGGATCTGTAAAAACTATGTGACTTATAAGTCACACATAAGTTGCCTATGTGTAACTTTCTCACGTCACCTGCATGAACAAATAACTCCCCCCATCTAATATTAATTACTCGAACATATGTTTATTACTAACATGTGTTTACCTACTCTTGTACCGCATAGTGTTACAACAGCCCATCGCACTAAATTTTGTTTCTTCCATGGAGAAGAAAATAATATCTAAAATGACCTTCTCCGTTTCACCAGTACATAAGACTATGTGCATCTCAGGCGGTATTTCATTTCATTACTACGTTTCCCATAAAGCGTCTGCGCTCTCTGGGAAAACCCGTTTGACCTTGAGATGGCGCCGCGCCTCGCTGCTCCAACTTTACGCCAATTAATCGCTTCGGCGGTGGATTGCTTCATATTACAGCGTTATGTTATATCAGCTTTTTTATGGGCGGAAAACCTCAGGCAAAGATAATAAATCTTAATATAAAGGCTTTTTACAAGTCAGTTTTAAATAATGCATTTCCGTTGATTATCTGCAATCCTATATCGATTAGCGTCCTACTGATAAGAGAAAAATGGGCATTATTTTGACAAATGCCTTCGGTCACATTTCGTTGAGTACACGCTTGATATGAAGGTTGGGGGTAGCGGGGAATCGGCAGATTTATGCACATTTCAGATAAACGTGGAGTCCGTCACTGGGGACACGGATGCTGCAGTCCGGCACTGTCAGGCTACTGTAGCTGCCTTCATGCGTGTTGAATCTCGTGAAACATTTCGCTACCAAGCTTTGCTGGCGGGGCTCCGAAAGCATAGCTAATTATTTATGAAAACTTAGCATCCACCGCAAGATCTGTGGTTTCCAATCAATGTCATCAAACCTACATCGCGGATGCGGACGCCAAATGTAATCGGTTAGGAAGTCACATGCGCATTCGCATATATGACATTTCGCATGGCGGTCCTTGGTGGTGTCACTCAGAAGGCTTGATGACATTAAATACCGCCGCACGTCTAGCCCCGTCCCTTTCACGCGGGTCCTCCTCTCAAGACGAGCCTGCTTAACATGAGCGACTCAAAAGCACATTTAACTGCACTGCGGTGACACTGCTCGTTATATCTACCTCCCACCCCCAAGCAACATCTGAGTCTCACCCTCTTTGATGCTATCAGCACTTGACATAAAAATAACGCCGTATAAATATTGCTGCGTTTTGTCCATCGAGGTGTCATGATGAATCTCATTATTAATATGATCATTATTTGATTTAAAAACCTGCCAATACAGACCTGAGAGGATGTGGCATGATGGAAGCGCCTGCCTAATCACACTTCGCTACAGCTGTGTACAGATAGGCAGTTTTGGCCATTTGGTCCAAATGAGTCGAACGATTCACCAGCGCTTCTGTCTCATGTATCTCATTGCATTGCGTTCGAACCAAGAGACAATTTAGAGAAAGCGGCTGCTCTGTGTTGTGGGTTAAATGTCTCATTTTAACATATAACTGCAAATAGACACGTCATTCCGCAAGATTTTTAGGTACGAGGAAGTGGTTTAGATGTAGACACCTACAGCTAGCCCACAGAAAGCAGTTATTTAAAAAAAAAAAAAAAAAACCGATAAATAGCCTAAAGACATCTCCCTAAACGGATTAAGATAAATATTTTTCTGTTTTTTTTTGTATTGCACTGCAGTTAAAAAATAAAAGGTTAAATGAATGAAATCGGCACATTTCTATGTATTTCAACTAATTTCTTGCCATGTAAACCACCTCCGAATCGTTGCCTTTCTATTTCATGACTACATCTTTCTTCACATGAACCGGCATCTTACCCCAGCTGCTGGCTGTCCGACCCATGAACTCTCCATTCCGCGGATTATAGAAAAAATCTTTCCAACTGGACTGGTTCTGTTCCTCGGTTTTTTCCTCCTTGTTCGACATGGCTTCACTCGTGTTGGGCTAAAAGGCGTGCGGCTGACAATTAAGAATAAGGTTTGCGCGGTACCAGTGCGGCTGCAGTGTTTAATGGAGAAACCAGTCAGGTCCCCAGCGGCGTCGCTTCTGAACGCACCGAACCGCACCGGACCGCAACGCAACGCAGCGCAGCTCAGACTCGGCGAGTCCGAAGGAGGGTATATGTACAAGCGCAAGCGCAGTGTGTCCATCCCCTACCCCTGCTCTCTTTAAGTCATTGGATTAAAAATATTATCGATGTAATTTCAGCATCCTTCAAACTGGGAGGCAACAATTGTGTTTCTGCCTGCACTTTTTTGCTTTGTACATGGGGGGTTTCCAAATACCAGTCTATTTGGCTATAGATAAGAGGTTAATAGCTCTATTTAACTCGATAAAAGTTTTCCAGATTTTCACCTGGACCCATCAATTCATCCTATATTAGTAACCTTATACCAAAAGAAGGCTGCAGTGAACCAGAGTTAGATAGGTGCCAGCACAGGTCACCATATAGAGCTGTTTACTGATTTACAGACAGTATTTAGATTATTAGTGTTAATTCCTATCTAAATGACATTCATCCAACCACCCATCTTCTAACCATTGGTCAGGTTAATGTGGTATTAATTATGACAGGCAAATATGTTTGGTTTTCATCAAAGACATTAAATTCCTTTGAGCAAATAGAACGGAAAGCAGAAGAGCATTCTGCGTTACTGATCACACGTACCCACCCCCCAGGAATCAATTTCGCATAATCAGCAAACAGCAGTTCCCTCAGGATTAAGCTTAATGTGAATGTCGGGGAGATAATGGATTTGAAACATGTTGAATGGAAAATCCCTCATCTATATGAACAAGATGAAAGGATGTTTGTTTACTTTACCAAGCAGAATTTCTCATGTTTTTAATAGAACATATTTCTCGTATTTCATGTGACTTGTCTGCCACAGATTCTGTGAGGATCTTTCACAGACACATACTCAGTTCACTGGACATTCCTGTAGGACCTTCTGGAGACTCCATATTCATTCCAGGCATTGTCCCCTGGCAGGATCTGCATCTACTCATATTATTAATATTATTAGAGAATAGATGGATCGTGCTGTCATGCCTCATTTCCATTCTCAGTGCACTGGGTCCTTTCTGGTCATGAGAGAGTCCAGCACACAGCTCTCACCTTCAAACCAAAGCCCTAACCGTTTCATTAGGACTTTTTAAGGTACATTTTTACTGTGGACGAAAGTGGTGAAATGTTTGGTTTAATGACGCATCGGGGCATGCAGTGCCTCAAAATACCCTTTTCACCTGCAAATGGACCAGATTCCTAATGCAATGGCTCTGCACTCGCTGTCCTGACTGTATTTACAAGCGCCCTTCAGCTGTGACCGTTTGCGTGTCTTATCGGCTGTGCGCATTTATTAACAGCTGTTACATCATGCCATCTAGCTGCAGGCCTTAATAATTTACATTTAGGCACAACTCTCTTTTTGTACAAGGAAAGACGAATGTTATATCAAACGGTAATCTGCCTTTTATATGTTTTACTCAAAGAGTACGGAATGTATGGACTGAAATTCAAAACCAACAATTTTGGTATCTGAAAGGGTTTTTGAAGTCTTCTATTTTTTTCTAAGCAGAAATGTGAACAATCTTTGGGGAACACAGTTCCTAAAAGCTATCTTTGGTTTGTCGGCTGTATATTGTCATTCACACACAAGCCTTTCGATCGCCAAACAACACCAGATTTCACAGAAACTACCAGCCATGCATTGAGCTTATCGTGGAAGTATGATGGCCACAGGAGCAGAACTTGCTATGTTCTTGAGTAATTCTCCACTTTAGAAAAGTAAGTAATATGTAACACGTAAAATAATCAAATTCCTGATACAGAAGAGAGCGAAACAGATCACCTGTGATTCACCTGTGATTCACCTGTGATTCACCTGTGATTCACCTGTGATTCACCTATTTCTCACACGTAACGTTGAAGAAACCACATGAACCGGGATTCAGCAGCTGGGTGGAATTCCTGAGAGGCAGGAGGTTGTAGGTCCTTCCGTGCTGCAATTTGGCCGAGTCAGCAGTTTGAGCTGCACGGAGCCAGCAGCTCAGCCACAGCAGATGAGAAGCAGAGTGTGAATCTTTATTGATTTTTTAAAAGTTTGCTTCCATTTGTTACTGTAGCTGGCACCAAGCTGTCTACATCTCCACTGCACTACTCGCAGTAAAAACACTGCACTGGAAATGGAAAAATCAAACGATTCCCTTTTCAGCTTTTAACGAGGTTTCTAACTGAGGAGTACGCACCGGCTTCCATGTCTCTACCCATGACCATGCTGCAATTTGGATAAATCTACTTGCCTGGCTGGAGCAACAATCCCTGCATGCAAAGGGGGAGCTGGTTATTACCCTCTTAGTTATCACAACACACATGCTAATGCTAACGGTATCCTGGCCCGCGGCGTATTAACATCGCCCTGTCAGCTTATAGCCTTCTTGTTAACACTAAACATGGCAATTGCTCCTACATTCACATTTATTTAGTAGGCTCTTTATTCAACGGCAAAATATAATTGTGAAAACATGGTCGTCCAGCCCCTGGAGCAATTGGGGTTAAGTGTGAGCCATGTCCTGCCCAGTACGTGATAGGAGTTGGTGGGACTCTAACACGTTACCTCACAGCATCCTTGCCAGGGTTGCCATATTTGGTGAGACGAACAAGAGGGCACACTGTCGCTCACAGAATGTCACAAATATAAAAGAAAAAAAGACGGCTTCTGCCTTTTCCATGCCAGCAGCTGCAGTAGTAAAATACGAACAATTTATAATAAAAAAAATGGAGGAAAATTTGTATTTTAAAAAGTTACAGAGCACTAAGCTAAGGTCTGCTAATCTTTCAGCAGGTGCCTCGATTCACTTCGCACGAATATAAAACAAAATGTGTCGGCGGTTTCTGGAAGTTGCCGCCACTCGTGAACAGTGCGACATGCAGGGGTGTGCATATCACAAAAAGGGTGTGCATGTCGTTTAATCTTTAAAGTGAATGTGTGCATGAGCCTTGCAGATGCTGCGTGATGATACTGAGCAGCTGCTATGTATTGAAAATTGATGCCTTTTCCTTCCTTGCAACACTTGGTCACGTGGGATGCGACACTAAACCCAGACAAACCACCGATTTTTGAAAAACCGCCTGGACGTCCCAAATAGAGGGGAAAGAGTATTCTTACTAATCCTGCCACACTAATTCATAGAACTCATTGCTACTAATGCTATAATGGTCCTCATGTTCTCTAAATCCATGTAAGGTGATTAATTACCACAGACATGGGCAGAAAGGGCAGCCACAGGCTCTGCCAAGGCCAATTCTGTAACCACACAACATCTCTGCTACACTGATACATTAATTTGTGGAATCATTGCAGATTCCAAAGGTCCACATATTTATGCACTGATTCATTTTGTGCACTTTTGTCCACAGATGCTTAATGTTGCACTTGGTTCATAAAAGGTAATAAAAAAAACATGCAGAATTCCACTGTAGTATACTGCATGAAACATGCACCCATGCATTAGGGGAAATTTTCCATCAAATAATAATAATTGTCATGTAAGGGTTCAATGTACTTGACAAAATCTAATTTTATTTACTTCATTACTTAAGTACATAAACCTGAACTGGACAGTCCCAACCACCAAATTTTCAACAACAAAGTTCCCCCAGTCCAAAGGACATAGCACTGCGGGAAACAGAGAAGTGGCCTGGGGATGGTGACCTTTGGGAAAAGGTGTGAAAAGAGGGGCCCAGCTGTTGGACACGAAACGAACCAGAACAGGGGACCAAGGAACAGAAGCAGAAAGAAAAAACAAGAAAACAAAAGTGAAAACCTAGAAGAAAATGTTGCCTGAACAAAACCGTGAATCCGGAAACAAGACGCAAACTAAATCAAACCACGAAGCAAGAGACTAATTGCTAGTATTGAAAACCTCAAGCTCGTGGGAGACTCGGGACTCCGTCAACCAAGAGACGCAAGCTCCCTAAACGAGACAAGCAGCCAAAATGCTGAGTAATGCTTGAGAAAAGTGAACTATACTTTCATGGGAAAAACTGTTGTTTTGAGAAATAGTATCAGCCAACTGATAAGAAGTGACCAAGAAGCACAACATCTGCACTGTATATTTACACAGCACACTGGTTTTGTGAAAGTTTTGTGAATATTAGCAGTGAAACACATCCTACATACATTTGTGACAAAGGACGTATTTTTGGCAAGCACTGACATGCAGCCGTAATTCACAGAACAGGAAGCTTGTGCAGTTTGAGGAGTCTACAGTCCAGTGGCTGCTCTGTCACTGTGACACCTTCTCTGGGAAAAGCCCCTTTAAAGCAGTTTTATTCTTTGTCGAGTCAGTCTGATCTATAGATAGTATTATTACCAGCAGTATAAATGCGAATTCTGAGAAAGGGTCAGCGACGGGTAAAGTCATTCCTCCTGGTGATGGTGGTCACTGCACATGCTACGCCATTAACAAACAGCTACGTCTGCATGATCATTCACAGCTTGGGTCTTTGTCACATTGTCACAGCACTGAAGGCCGGCCCAGGTACTGAAATACAAATGGCCAGTATTTGAATTAATTACTGCCCAGTAATATTAACTAATGCTGTTAATTTTAACATGAGAGCCAAATTTATTGATATTTGGGCTTTTGTGTTACCCTGTTTCACATGTGTAACAGGGTGGGTATGGTGTATGGCTCAATGGGTTAGAACACTGTGCCTGTGATCCGAATGTTGCTGGTTCAAATCCTGGGGTCAGCACAGTGATTTCACCATGGGGCCCCTGGGCAAGGCCCCTGGCCCTCAGTATCTCCTGGCACTTTCTACCTCTGTTTTCTCAGTTCCATGTCATTTTGAATAAAAGCAGTTGCTAAATAAATTAAATGAAACTGGATCTCCACAGCATGGACTCCAAACCTCTAACCCAGGGTTCTTCAAATCTGGACCTCGATTCCAAATCCAGGCCTTGTTTTCAGTTCTCCCAGGGAGTTAGTTTAATAATTACTGATTCTGATTGGTCAGAGGCTTCACACTGGCTCACAGGTGAAGGAAGGCTGGAAGACCAGCAGTGCTCGCACCTCGAAGGACCGTGATTTGAATAACCCTGCTCTATCCCATGCATGAGTACCAAAGACCTGCTCCACTCCCAGGACT